GAAATAGTTCATATTTGACTGGCTGATATTGTACAATCTAAGGAAAATGTATTTAACCGTATTACATTTTAGTTGATGAACACATATAACAGTACAGTTGGCTTCCGACATGGGGAACGTGAAAATGTGAAAACTACAAATGAAATTAATATGAAACCCCTTTGAATCTTATAGAATCAAATGTTTGGAAAATACTATGCAGCACTTCGATAGTTTATTATCCATAACAGAGATTGACATGGAAAGCCAATTTTAGACCAAACCCATACTTATGTATGTGGAAAGTTACACCTGGCGCTCATTCGACAAAATTGTTGACTAATCCCCGGGCGGAACTAGTTTTCTCATTGCGAGTTGGTTATTTTTTGGAGAAAAATTGGATGTTAAAATCTCTTTATTTAAAATAGTAGATCATATAAAATCCCTTACAAATATACAAAAATTAACACCTATTAAAATGCACTGGCCTAATGATGCGCTTCTCAACACCCCTAAAAGGAATCGTTGCGATTACATGTTCTGTCTGAGACAAGTGAATGAGCCGGCTTTACAATACCTATGTAGTTATATTTTTGAACCTCCCATGTATCTATATATGTAGTTATAATGAATTAAATTTAAAAATAATTATACATATACCTAATTAGGAACTTTGTGTACAACTAATAGCCTGTAAAAATATGTATTGATGTATTTCTAAAGACTTAGAAACTACCTAAATTAATTTAAAATCCTTAAAAAATTAACTTACCGAGCGAACTTGTCTGTTGAACATAAAACAGATGCATGTCCACACTCTTGACAGAAGTACCGATAGAGCGCTGAAGTTCATTTGTACGAAAGAAAACATTGGCACACGACGTCGAGGGCGTCTTACCAATTAATAACATACGCTTACAAAAAGTTAATAGTAGCTGCAATGAAGAACGTAGTGCGATTTTTCTCAATTGATTGTAATTCATTCATTTTATTTTTCGCTTATATAGTAAGAAGGAATATTTCGTATAGGAGTCCATTATAAAAGTTATTCGGAAAAGCGCGGCAATGATGCCTCCAGACGAGCAACAACAAAATCAATAAACGACTGCACCAATTTTTCTTGCGACGAATTCTGAGTGAAGTATTAAATAAGACGGCAATTTTTACCTCAATAATGCAATTGATGCTTCCTTAAAATTAAATAACAAAACGGATTTAAATTTGCTTTTCACCAGTGTTTGTATAATTTTTATATTTTTCCGCTTTGTTTTTCCCCAATCTCTTTCAGATACTTCCCAATTTCCGAATTTTATATGTACGTAAGTAGACGCGCAAACCCGAACTATGGTCGACCGACGTGAACAGAATTTAAACAAATATGTATATTTCACAATCCTAAATTTTTTAAGTAAAAAATTTAGTTAAATTAATTATAAAATACTAATATACCTTTACTTACTAACAAAGTTTTTCGCGAACGTCATAATTATGTAAATAAAAGTAAAAAGCAATGAAAGAAAATGCGCTCTTGGCTTTTGGCCAAAATATTAACGATCAGCGCAAATTTGATCATGTGAACAGCTCAACTTGTATGTATGTTGAATAAACTGCACCAAGCATAAAATTCAAACTTCAAAACACTTTTTAATTCTGAATATTCTCGGGCCTGTAGTTAATAAAAGTTTTGAGCAAACAAATACAACCATCAAAACATTGGCAACCCTAAATATTTGCACATTCCCAACATGATTCAACAACTACAGGTTGTAGCAATCGTACAAAAACAACA